CTCTACTGTACCTATTTTTTAGAAAAAAATACAATGACTCAATAAAACATGAAATATGTTTTAAACATTAACTTTTATACAAGAAATTTTGATAATTTAAAGTTTATTTTGGCTGTCACACAGAAAAAAAAACATTATGACAACAGGACAACATTTCCACAAACTGTGTACAAGTTCTGTCTATATTTCTGAGATGAGGTATTGTGTACACTATTTACACCATCTTCATCTTTGTTGCCATATTTATCACAACGTTTCGGCCGTTGTACGCTCCGGCATTCTTCAGGTGGTTGTAATATCGAACTGAACCCTTTATTTCGCTCATTGGGTTAGATTGTTCTAGTTCCACATACCATATTTAATGGATGTCAGTTATCAGTTATCTCCTGTTAATTCCCCTCTCCAAGTTCGCCACCGCCTTAACCAAGTATTGAACTCACACTGTTTGGGTGCTGTCACTGGATCTAACTAACGCCTCTATCCACTGAGCCAACTGTCTTCTATAGTCGATCGCCTTTTTCTCAGCCATATCTTTAACAATATTTTTTTTTAAATACAGAAGCCCTCATATCTGGAATTCCTCGTATCTGGAATCCCTCATATCCGGACTCCCTCATATCCGAACTCCCTCATATCCGGACATGATTTTGATGTGTATATCAGAACTATCATGGGTGATATGGAACTGATTTGAAATTTCTGTTTTTCAGGAAATTTACTTTGGATAATTGCTTATGCTTATTTCACTCCAATGACTTCTATAAGTTGATGGGAATAAGAAATAAAGAACAACTTTGGAGGTATCACAAAAAGGGGGAAATTTTAAACAGACTAGACGCTGGTGAAAATTCATTGTCACTAATGGCTGAGTTCATCATAGGAAAGTTAACATTGTATGATATAAAATATTCCAAAGAAACTCCAGCATTCACACTGTCATAATGAACAAGGAAATAAGAAAATGATTGTGATGAAACCTGGACTGAAATTGAAAAAGCTATTGAAAAGGATTTTGAATGTGTATGTTTGAACTATTTGGGTGATATCTAACCGATTTTAAATTTCTGTTTTTCAGGAAATTTACTTTGGATAATTGCTTATGCTTATTTCACCCTAATGTCTTGTTTTGGTGCAAAAGATGATGGGAATAAGAGGAAAGGATGACAACGAGACACATCTGCAACAAGATAGCGACGAGATGCATGATTGTGATGAAACCTGGATTGAAATTGAAAAAAGCTATTGAAAAGGTTGTCAGTTTTATGGAAAGAAAGCCAGCATTCAGCTATGATGATTGCAATAACGCACGTAGAGTTATAAAGTGACTTTCGTTTAAAAATTTTCAAGAACAAAAGCAAAACGAAATTCGGAAAAAGTTGAGAATGACATTAGAAGAGAAAGAATCATCATCCAACTGCGATTAAAAATCCTCGTTACGTTATTTGTTTTGCATACGTGGCATAATTAATTTAATGAATTTTCATTAACATTACATACTTTATTTCTTTTCCTTTAAAATCAATTCTGTTATATTTCACTCACCATTAGCTTATTTTGTTTACTATAAAACATTGAAATGAAATGTTAAATCTGATTTCAGTTCTTTTATTTTAACTTAAATGTAACCCCTCATATCCGGACTTTGTAACCAACTCTTCATATCCGGAAGGCCTTCTTAGTCCGGTTGTCAGCGATTCTACTGTAACGAAAAAATAGCTTTTATACGACTAATTTGTTATTAATTGTTAATTGTTAGAAGTATAATTTGAATAAAATTTAGCGTATGTCTCAAATTAGATTTGCAATTAGAAATAATGCTTTTTCTGAGAAGCGAATTTTTTGTTTATGGGAAATTTGTCAAGCTAAGTAAGCGGTACTTAGAATGAAGATTGGGGATTTTTTTTTCCAAGGTTAATAAGTGCGACTACGATTATTCTTCTTTCTTTTCTTCAGGACGTAGGCGATCATGACTCTCCACACCCCCTATCCCTTGTAGCTCTCAGAAAGTTGTATCACTTTGCTACTTCCCTAAAACGCTGTTTTGTCATCCATTAGTTTAAGCCCACTAGGTATGTCATACGTTCCTTTCCTGCATCTCTCTTTCTCGTTAATCGACCTGTGAGTATCAGATTTTCCAAGCCCTCCTTTCTCATTACGTGTTCCAGAAATTTCAGCTGCCTTTTCCTTATGTTAAGTACAAGCTTCCTCCTTGTTTGCATCCTCTCCAAAACCACATCGTTACTCACACACTCAGTCCATGATATGCTTAGCATCCTTCTGTAGAACAATACCTCCATTGCCTCGAGTCTCTTCTTTTCTCATTACGTGTCCCAAAAATTTCATCTGCCTCTTCTTAATGTTGAGTATAAGCTTCCTCCTTGTTTTCATCCTCTACAAAACCTCATCGTTGCTCACACGCTCGGTCCATGATATCCTTCTGTGGGACCATACCTCCGTTGCCTCCAGTCTCTTTTCATCTTTGAGGAGACCGTCCAACATTCACTACCGTAAAGGTTTTGTAATTTTGGCAAATCCTCGTCGTCAAAATGTAACGTAGGGAAAGTTACTGAATAGAATAATCACACGAAGTTTAGTAATGAACGATAATACTTAGGACAAGAGCAACACATATAACATTCGTGAGCAGCGCTTGAAGTAGTCACCTGCTGGAAGTGAGTCAAGTGAATTCCACAATAAATCTCCAACTACGTGATATCTACCAACCGCCCCACGCGGTCAGATGCGACACAAAGCCGAATAATAAGTGGTGTACGAGACTATTGGCTCGGTTAAAAATTCCCCGGAGATCCCGTATAAAACGGAGTCGGGTAGCTGTTTCCCGAGACGAGACTATGCCCTTCGATATAGCCTCGTCTGTGGATTCTCTCTACCCGGTGGCAAAGAGTTTGACCAGCACAGCTGGAGACGAATCTCCAACTACAGACCAACATACAGTATTTACTACTCTATTTATGATAATGAGGGTATACTCATTATCGTCCGTAGATATGCTACAAGAAAAAGATTACAAAAACCGAAAGTAAATCATTTTCAGATTTACATAGACACATACAAACATTGTGCTTTATCTATCTGTTTAAAAGAAAAAAACAAGGAAGCCATTGTTCAACTTTTTGAAAAATATGTACAATTGTTTATTGCTGTTAAGATTTAACATAGATAATAGAAATGATACAAACAGTCGAAAGAGGAATTATTTTCATTATTATCAATTGATAATAATAATAATAAGGGTAAAAAAGAAAGTGGGAATATTAATAGTAGTAGTAGTAGTTGTTAATAATAGTCGTAATATAACATTATAAAAAGAAAGAGTGTCAGTTATAATAACAGTAGCATTCGTAGTATTGATAGTGTCAATAATAGCAATCGGTAAATATAATAATAATAATATTAATAATAATAATAATAATAATAATAATAACAGGATCGATTTTAGTTGTAACAGTAATAATGAGTGTAATAAATTTTATTCGGAGATTAATAGATATGAGATCTTTCAATAAATGAAAAGTGATTTGGGTTGGATTAATTTTTGGTGCAGCACGGGACGCGACAGCACACGTCAAACTCTGCTCTAAGCGTCCCTGGGACAATGACAGTGACGTGACGACAGCTGCAACTGCAGGGCGCCTTTGAGAGACACGCCCACAGCAGCGGGGTAAACAAAGAAAGGTTCAACGTGCACATCTACTTCGGGGTCATCATCTTCACAAACTCTGAAAAGAGAAAAGAAACAACATTTAAAAATTTGAAAAATCGAAACAGAACCGCCCCCTCCACCAACAGAAACCCCCATTAACAGATCACCCCCCCAACAGAATCAGCGTAAACCGATAGCAAAATACCCTCCAACATTACCGACAGAACCCCCACCAACAGAACACCCCCACCAACAGAACACCCCCAACAGAAACCCCCACTAACAGATCACCCCACAACAGAATCAGAGTAAACTGATAGCAAATACCCCACCAACACTACCGACAGAACCCCCCACCAACAGAACCCCCACCAACAGAACCCCCAACAGAAACCCCACTAACAGATCACCCCACAACAGAATCAGAGTAAACCGATAGCAAATACCCCACCAACACTACCGACAGAACCCCCCACCAACAGAACCCCCACCAACAGACCCCCCCAACAGAAACCCCCACTAACAGATCACCCCACAACAGAATCAGAGTAAACCGATAGCAAATACCCCACCAACACTACCGACAGAACCCCCACCAACAGAACCTCCCCACCAACACAATCAGATTAAACCGATAACAGATATGACATATTGTTTACTATTGTTTACTAAATACAAAAACTGAGAGCCACTCAAGGTAGAGGGTAAACAAAAGGCGGTGCTGTAATTTTCGAAGAAGCGATCGGTAACTGAATTCTAAAGAGGAAAGACGGCGTAATCCTCTACTCCTGTTCAAAAGACGAGTATGTGATGTAAACTGAGTTATAAGCGTAGTTATTTACCCCTAAAGTTCTGTCTATATTACATTTACGAACAGCAGGCATAAATATCTTTATTTTATGGAAATATACAGGAACAGATGTTGTTATATTCGTGGGAAATTAATTTGCACGATTTTCAATCGAGCACACGTCGCTGACAGCCCTGTCAATGTGTGTCAACCTATCGTTTGAAAAATATCATGTCATTTGTTTCCCGTATCTTAGACGATTACGTTAAACTGCGCTAGTAGTTAATACGTATTAAGTTGTTGAAAATGAAATGTCCTATTGTGAAGAGAAAACAAAAAACGGTTCAAATATATCAAAAATTGAAATGATCTCGAAGAGTAATCAGGAGGATGTACTGAATTTTTTTTATCCACTACAGGAAAATTTGATCAAAAGACTAAACATCAGGAGAGATTTAAAATTCTCTTCGCCGGACCAGAATTTTTTTAACACAAATTTGTATTTGAAATGACAAAATTCTATTGCAAAACAAATTCTTTTATTAGATGTTTAAAGTTTTGCTAGTTTCTTTCATTTATTCATCTATTGATTTGTCTATTTCCCATTCTTTCTTTCTTTCTTTCTTTCTTTCTTTCTTTCTTTTATCATTTCTTTCTTTCTTTTTTTCTTTCATTTATTCATCTATTGTATCTATTTTCCATTCTTTCTTTCTTTGTTTCATTTATTCATCTATTGATTTGTCTATTTCCCATTCTTTCTTTCTTTCTTTTATCATTTCTTTCTTTCTTTTATATCCCTTTCTTTCATTTTTTCATCTATTTTATCTATTTCCCATTCTTTCTTTCTTTCTTTTATTCATCTATTGATTTGTCTATTTCCCATTCTTTCTTTCTTTCTTTTATCAATTATTTCTTTCTTTCTTTCTTTCTTTTATGATTTCTTTCTTTCTTTCTTTTATCATTTCCTTCTTTCTTTCATTTATTCATCTATTTTATCTATTTTCCATTCTTTCTTCATTTATTCATCTATTGATTTGACTATTGTTCATTCTTTCTCTTTTCTATTCTCGATTCTTTCTACACATTTTATTTTTCCTTCTACTTCCTTTCCGTCTGTTTTCCCCATCGTTCTTTTCTTTCCGCCTATATTTTCTTTTTCATTGATTTCTTTCTTTCTTTCTTTTTTCTCTCTTTCTTTTATTTACTTTTTTTCGCTTTTTACTATAAAATAAAATCAACGAAACTCAATCGAGTTACGAATATATTTTATTCGTAAGCGTCGAACAGAAGAAAGAAAATGCAGAACTATATCAGTGCTTCGATCTCTTTTAAAATGTTGCAACCCGTACTTCCGGTTGGATGCGGTGATATCCTTTTAGGTGTCCCGTTTTATAATGAGACCTTCCTATCTACTAAACGCTTAGATTTTTGACTTTTCTCTTTCCCTTTCTCACGACTTAAATTTTTACTGCCTTCTTTTTTCTTCATATATTTTTCTTCTTTTCTGTCAGCCTCTATTTTTTTTCATTTTTTTTTACTGATTCTTTCTTTCTTCACTCTTAATTCTCTTCTTCCATTTTTAACCTCTTCCTTTTTATTCTGACTCATATTTCGCTGTTTCTTTCATTTAATAAGCGTTCATTTATTGCCACAACAATTTCCCATTAATCCTCCTTCGAGATACACTAAACGCAATCGACAGATATCTTTTAACAACCAACACTACAGAGTTTCCTGTTGTAAATCTCAATGTGACGAGCCTTCATCCATACGCTAACATTACGACGTTAAGTCCAACCTCACAGAATTCAGTCGACATTTGATGACAGCGAAAAACATTACAGGATTATCGTCGTTATTTAGATGGAAGCCAAAGTTTATTGAAAGCATAAAGACTCGTTCAGTTTATGACTGACAGCCTTAAAACCATTCCCAAAGGATGAGAAGAGAATTGAAGATAAGATGTTTTGCTATGTATGGGGAAAATTTAGTTTCCCTCCACCCCCCACAAAAAAACAGATTTTCTTGTAATAATGTTAATACCATGGATTTGCTTGACATTTGTGTCGCCATAAACAACTGGGCATGTCCTTCAGGTGTTGAATCCCCGTGCATCTCTGTTCATAATTACTCGGAGAGAATCATGGCCAAGGTAACGTGGGAGTCCCATCTAGGTATTTGGGAATTATAGCCCGCCTATGCGGACTGGGTTGCCCGAACTGAATGTATATATAACAAGCTTTTTGGTAAGGCTAAAGAAATATTTAAGACATGGAGTAAATCCTGGTGAATTTAGTTAAATACAAAATTGAAGCTCTGTATATTGTTGAAAACAAATTTAAAGGGAGAAAAGCAAGGAAAAAGAAAAATATGAAATATATATGAATGATAGGAACAGAATGTACTTGTTTTATTTGCTAATTCGGAAACCGGGCCTAATGCAAAATCTAAAACAAGGCAGAAGAAAAACGGAAAAAGCTTAGCCTGGTTTCATTTTATTACCTTGATCGGAAGGAAATTTTCATAGAAAATATGCGTCCTCCGACAGAAATCGAACCTGTATCCTACACTGAACCGTCATATAGACTGACGTGCTTTACCGATTGAGCCACAGAAGAGCGCTTCGGGTGTCGGAGGACGCATATTTTCTATGAAAATTTCTCCGACATTCAGGCCGGTATATGTTGTTAATATTGGTTATTATAAACTGAGCATTTACTTAAATCTTTGTATCTATAAAAAAAGAAAGTATAAACATAAAAATGTATATATATATATATATATATATATATATATATATATATATATATATATATATATATATATATATATGAGCTGGCTACTCGTATTCGAGGATACCTGTCTAATAGGAGGGCTAGCCAATCCCTATTGCAGACTCTCGTTCAGGCACATTTGTGTTTGTTCAATGCTCACAATCTGCTGAGAAAACCTTAGTTACAGTTTCTGGGAGAGAGCGTGTTATATCGCATGATCAACAATATGAACAAGGCCAGCACCCTCAAAGCCTTGGACACGATGACTTCTCGACTAGTTTCGGCCAACATGGCCATCGTCAGGAGAAAAAATGTTTCTGCTTGCTGGTAGCAGTAAACTACAGAAATGAATGTCTTGATGGAGAAAATGAACTTTTGTCTGTAGTTTTCATTTGTTTTTTGTTTTGTTTTGTTTTTTTCAACATGAATTTTGGTCAGACTTTGTGTTGGTCAAATAGTCTCTTTTAAGTTGTTATTTAAGATAAGAGCTGGATGGATTCATGCTGCTCTGAATTCCCTTGGTCATTTTGACAGTTTTATTGGTTCCTGGAAAGGGGATGTGTCTATGTTAAGTGTGTGTGTCTGTGTGTGTGTGTTACTTGGTTCTTAGCGAGTGAGTGAGTATGATGTGTGTAAGCGTGTATATTACTATGGGTGTGTGTTATCATTTGGCTCATTAAGGAGTGAGTGAATATGATGTGTGTAAGTGTCTATATTGGTGTTGGTGTGTGTATAAGTGTGAGGCCTCAACACCTCTGTAAGCATGTCTATCTTGTGTGAGTGAGAAATGGGGTTAAGTCCTGATTTGTGGAGTTATATATTAATACTATCTATATTGTTAAATTTATGGTTAAGCCCGTCTGGATAGCGCGTTTTTAAACGCCATATTCCCTTATTTTCATGGAACTCTAAAATCTTTCTAATGTTATCTGCTCCGAACTTTTCTATTCTCTCAATTATAGTGAATTTGGCATGAGTTTTTAAATCGTGTTTTTCACCGTCCTGCTTATGGAGATCAATTACATATGGCAGTAGGGTATCTTATCGGACGAGTGGAGGTATTGATGATCGTAAAACAACCCCTTAACTGCTGTTGTTCCCATGTCTACCCAGACCAATAGTCGTAACGTCTTAGGCTCCCAGCTTTGGACAAATAGTAACCCCTCCCTCCCCACCAAAAAACAAACAAAATTCAACAGTATATTTTTACAATAAATCCAGCAACTGTGTATATAATAAAACAAATAATACATTTTTACAGTGAAATTACCTATAAAATGAAGCACCAAAATACTTTTTATCTAGAATATATATGTAAAAATTATGCGTTTACGTTGAAAGAATAAAATTATGTAGAAAATATCTGTAGTTGAAGGCATATAATTACGTCCCAAATATTTAAACTTCGGCATTAAATAACCCATAGAGGTTGATATACCACTAAACAAAATCAGAAATATATATGTACAGGGTGACCCCAAAAAACGGGAACTTTTTAACAGTCCAATAAAACCAAGAGTGATGGAAGAAAAATATTTTATTCACAGTAATTGAAACTTTAAAACATGCCATTTAAGAAACAGTGATGGAATTTTCATTTTTTTAAAATTACGTTCTATAGATGGCGTCCTCCTGTACGAATGCATTCTTGAAATCTGCTGTTGAGTTTCCTCATTGACTGCTGCAACATCTCAGCTGGGATACTGTGAATTTCATCTTGAATTCTAAATGGCGAAATGTTTACTTGCTCAAGGTCAATGTCTTGCAGTGTTGCCACTTGCTCATGTCTGGCAATATGCACTTCAAAAAATCCCGTTTTTTGAGGTCACTTATATATATATATATATATATATATATATATATATATATATATATATATAGATAGATAGATAGATAGAGAGAGAGAGAGAGAGAGAGAGATTAAAACTTTAAAATCTATATCCCATATTATTCTTAAAAAAACTTTATTCTTTCTTTTTTTCAGGGGGTCGCGTGTGCCTGGATAAATTTAAAATCCGTTTATTGCTGCAAAATTGTTTGATCTGATGAGACGAGATCGATTTGATCTCGCGAAATAAAATATTATAATGGATTTCTAAAGTATCCACTTTCATCATTATCATTATATATATATATATATATATATGTGTGTGTGTGTGTGTGTGTGTGTGTGTGACACGAAGAGTCTTATCGTTTATAGTAACATTCAGCATGCAATTTAAAGACCAGGATGACACCTCTCGAGCGTCCATCAAAACATGCTCAATATAGGGAAAGCCCCCTAAACAGAATGCCTTCATAATCGCGAGTATATAACCGGGTCTCCTGCACACAACATATACTCAACCCGAGGCGTTGATGGTCACAAGGGAGCCTCACCCTGCGATACACCGACCTCAAGTCTCTGGCATTTACATTAGCCAACCAGAGAGACATTATCAAACTTGCTCATGTCTGGCAATAAGCACTTCAAAAATTCCCGTTTTTGGGGGGTCGCCCTGTATATATATATATATATATATATATATACAGGGCGACCACCCCAAAAAACATATATATATATATGTGTGTGTGTGTGTGTGTGTTCGCGTGTGTGTGTGTGTGTATATATATATATACATACATACACACATATATATATATATATACATATATATATACATACATATATATATATATACATACATATATATATATATACATACATACATACATATATATATATATATATATATATATACATACATACATACATACATACATATATATATATACATACATACATACATACATACATACATACATATATATATATATATATATATATATATATATATATATAATTTTGTATGTTTTATTGTCAGCCAAAAATGTATTTTAAAAAAAGGTGTTTGGTTTCTGGATCAGATTTTAAGAAGTTTTTCTTCTCGAGGACTTTTCAGCACCCCATTATATCTTTTTATACTTTTGCCTTCTTTTCATTTTCATCCTTCCTCCCATGATGACTGTATTTCTTATCTATATAGGACACATATTACTAAATGATGTTCGATGATTGGTAAAATTCGATTTTGCCAAGAGAATGCAAGCCAAGATTGGAATTTTGATCGATACAGGATCTGCGCTTTCGTGCGTCGAAGCGATAATTCAGACGCCATTTCGATTTGGCAGGAACTCTGTTGGTGTTGCATTTCCATTAATCCAGTGTTGATCCTTTCCTCCATGTTCAACGGTTAATTAACCATGGAACTTCGCACAGAAGATAGGCAGGTACTGAACGTGCAGATACAGTGACATCAAGTTTGATCAGCTTTAGCAAAATTCTCTTAAATATAACGAACCTAACAGGAATTGGAACTTCGCTTTCCGATTAATAATTCCTAGTCGTTATCCATTACAACATCCATTATCCATTACAACATCGACCCATCCAAGCTGACAGTACTCGGTGTTCACCCATCTAAATAATAACCAGGCTTGACGTTGCTTAACTTCTATGATTGTTCGGGAACCGGTGATTAACCATGATGTGTCTGTAAGCCTAAATGGTTACAAATGTGAAATAAATAAAGAGGGTGGCCTTAATAAGGGTGGGGTGTTTAAAAATCTCCCCTATAAATAAATAAATAGACATCACTGTTTTTATTAGGCAATTAAGAATATTAGACAAATCATTCTATCAAACAAAAAAAAAGAGAAAAAAGAAAATGCTATTAAACAAAAGGCATATACATCTTTCATTGAGACAATCAAGACCCGGCAGCTGATTTCTACTCTAATCAAGCTCTTACAGCTTTCTTTAAGAAAAATGCATTATCCCCATGTTCACTGCTATATTCACAACGTTTCGGCCGTTGTACGCTCCGGCCTTCTTCAGGCGATTGGAATTTCGAACCGAAAATTTTATTTCGTCTACCTCAAGGACACATTGCCCAGTGGATAAAGACGTTAGTTAGATCCAGTAACAAGACCCAAAGAGTGGTGAGTTCAATACCAACCCACGGAGAGATGAGTTAAATAGAAATAACTGAGACATCCGGAAGAGGCATGGGACGTGGAATTAGTACATATCTACCCCGGTGGAAGAAATAAAGGGTTCGGGAGGTCGCCGAACCGGATAGGTCGCACCCCTACTTTATGGCTTAATAATTGATGATTTACTGTTGACTCGCATATAGGTCGCACTATAATCTGGGGATTTACATAGCCCTTTTTAAACGTAAGAATTATGAGATATCTGCATTTATTTTTACCTTTATTTCAAAACTTATAATCATTAATACATTTTTACAGTTAAAATACATTTCGTCAATCCACATGTAAACAAAAGGAAGTAACTGTTGTACCAGTATTTTTATATTTACCGCATATTATTTTTATATTGAGTCAACTCGACAAAAAAGAATGGCAATAACTACAGAAGAAAATGTTACAGTACCTTTAGTAGAAAGTGTTTATCTATTTATATATCAAGTTACAGTTTTAAAATTCATTCAGAACTGAATCCCAAGAATTTTTCTTTACTACCATCGCTATCAAACATCATTCTCATTTGTTCATCAGTTAATAGGTTTTCATTATTTTCCATTTCATAGTAGTCATTAAACTCATCATCACTTGTGATATAACCATCTTCATTTTTGTTTGAAGCAACCATATCCTTATTCTAGGCCTTTTCTGCACTTGAAGCAACTTTACTAAATCCTCATATAATATGTCATCGTCAGTTCCATCCATAGCATTTGGAATGCCACATCTTTTAAAGGACTTAATAAACATTTCTTCAGGCATTTCTCAAAAATCATGATGACAAGGCAGTGTTGTTTTACATTTATGTCAAGCGGATAGGTCGCAACCCTAATATTTTGGGAAATTTTTAGTAAATAAAGTGCAACCTATCCGCGAGTATATACGCTATCTATCTACCGAATTCTCTTCATATCTATCTATCTATCTATCTATCTTGTTCAATCTTTTCATATCTATCTATCGAAATCTCTTCATATCTATCTTGTTCAGTCTTTTCATTTCTATCTATCTTTCTTGTTCAATCTTTTCATATCTATCTATCTATCTATCTATCTATCTATCTATCTATCTATCTTGTTCAATCTTTTCATATCTATCTATCTATCTATCTATCTATCTATCGTATATATCTCCAGTTCCATCCATGGTATTTGAGAAGCCACATTTTTTTAGCGGGATTTCTTCAGGGATTTCTCAGAAATTAAGATGACAAGGTAGTGTTGTTTTACATTTATGTCGAGCGGATAGGTCGCACCCTCAATATTTTGTGATTTTTTTTTTTTTTTGGCAAATTAAGTGCGTCCTACCCGCGAGTATATACGCTAATTTATCCCACCTTATTGAATCCACACAAACCATGTGCTTCGTTTTTTAATCATTTCACTCCAAGCTAGGCAATAAAGTTACTAAAACGTTGGAAAGATTATGAGAAAAAAAAAACAACAATAAAGAACAATAAGAAGATAAAGATAACGATTGGCATTGCTTGTAGATCTTTGGAAATCAAGAAGCCGAAAGAGTGTTCCCACTCGAAAAGATCGAGAGAAGAAACTGTTAGCCTAGAACTTACGGTTCAATATAGCCATTTCAACCTTTAAAATGGCGGGACCTTGCAGCCAATCTAGTACTGCACTTCAATCCATAGAGTCAAGGTGCAATAGAGGAAACTTCATCAAAACATTTACTATTAAAAATTTATATAAAAGAACAAAGACACAGGGAAGCTACGTTAGTTCGTTGGGAAAATGATTCAAGCCGGGTGCCGATTCTTCTCTGGATTTTGTTAGGAATCTCTAAATATATAGCAGATGAACCAGACAAAATATGGCAGCAATATTCAAAGCATTAACGAATTTCTTTAGATAATTATTGTGCGATTAGACATCTGTTGATTCTATAATGTCTTTAATCCTAGAAGAATATTGATGATTTAAATAATGCTGTTATCTGAATCGTCTCGGTCCTCACACATTGTAGTTTTAAAACTTTTAGATTCAAGACAGAGACACAATTTGCTCACATGAAACTGATATTGACCAAAACTCAAGAATATAAGACGCCGAACACGTAAAAAGAAAAGAATCACTTCTTGGACAGCTTCCTCTTTTTGTCTTTACGTTGAATGGAGCTGAATTATCGGTCACCTTTTCTCTTCGCTGATATCAATATCTATCTGCCGAGGGTCTGACTAGTAGCCCCGGACAGCAGACCAAATCACTTCAGTTGTGCTAGGACCAGCTGTCCATTATGGTGAAGAGACTGATGTAGTTTGCTGAAGCTGTCTGGTTTTGGCGTGTGAAGAATATTAGAATTAATGATACTGAGGTGAGGAGAGAAAAAATGCCCGACAAGCGGAAGAAAAGATAAAGTGGGACGGCGGACATTGATATCAAAACGAGGCGCTCTTCTTTAAGGACGCTACTTGAAAATCAAGCGCGGAAATGAAAGGAAAAAGGGAGATAAGAAAGAGAAAGGAACAAATACGGCGAAAGAAAATGGAAAAACGAGGAAGGGAGTAAAAGAATGAAATGAAAAGGGACAGAGAATTAGAAAAAAATATAAACATAAGATTAAAACCTAGAAAAGAAAGAAAGAATAAAATAAGGAAAATAACGACTCAGGAAATGAAAGAAATAATTAATGAAAGTGAACAAGAAAGAGAGGCAGAAGTAAAAAAAAAATGAATGAAATGCAAATACTCGAAAGAAAAAAAAATGGAGGAAAAAGAAACGTAGAAAGAAAGAAAGAAAGAAAGAAAGAAAGAAAGAAAGAAAATAAATTAAGCGAGAAAGTGTTGTGGAGTAAACAGTACATTCCCAGTGACTATATGAACTAGTTTATAACTATAAATAAAGTGTTCCGTGTCAGAGGTAAGAAAAAAGAATTAAGCTGGTGATAGTATTCAGACAAATTAATACAGGAGTCAGGGCAAGTAACCGAAGCATTAATTATATTATAAGCGCTATGAAGTGGGTTATAATTTATATTTACCAAAACCCCCACCCGACCACTCGAGGTCAGGTGGTGACACAAGGTCGGTTTAATGTGGGGAGTTCCAGCGCATACACTCTGGCTAGGAACAAACATTGCTCGAGCTCATGCAACGGTCTATTACGCTGGCCTCATCGCCAGCACCGATCCCACTCTCTGGTTCAATGAGAGGGCGCGGCTTCGGGCAGCTGTTCTCTCGGGCCAGGCACCTCTTAGTATAATTTTCCTCAGTTTGACGGACCCCCCCCCCGAGCGCACTCTGCCCGAAGACAGAGACGCAACTGGGAGATGATGAATAAACGTGTTACAAACCCCTCGAGAGCAATTTACTAAGTGTAATTATGTGCGTTAAAATAGTGGCGACAAGGTATTCGAATCTCAGGTGATTTATAAGCATTGTGACGAGGATTCGGAACTCATACGACTTGTAACTGCAGATACACGGATTTTGGAATTTCATACCGCGTGAAAAAGTAAGATCCAGAGACGGATATGCAACATAATTGGCCCGAATCGGGCATCTCGTCTGCAATCGCTCTCTCACAGATGTGCCGTTGCCTCCCTCTGACTTTTTTACAAATACTTTCATGGTAGCTGCTCTGATGAGCTGCTTTCGCTGGTTCCCAGATTTCATGAATTTAAGCGTTCTACTAGGCTGGCATCTCGCTCACACCCTTTTCACTGTCGAAACTGTTAAATGTAGCCGTCTCTTCTACACCAATAGCTTCATGTCTCGCACCTCTCTCCTGTGGAACTCCCTCCTCATTTCTTGTTTCCCTGATAGCTATAATCTCCAACTATTCAAATGTAATGTCAACCGACGTCTCCAGATTCCCTGATCTATCCCCTATCCTTCTCTTCATCCTTTCCTCTATCACTCCTATTTGCTCTCACTCCAACTCTCTGTAACCCCTTGTGTGCTAGTGGCTCCCGCCTTGCTTGGGGTGGACGCTTAAAAAAATGTACTGGAAAAATATATACTTGTTGCTTCTAGAACAAGAATATGGTTGGCAACAAGAATTTTAAGCACGTTTTTAATTAATTTTTTTTCTCGGGTAGAAGAAATATTTTTCTCTTGCGTGTAGGAAAGAACATTCTTACGAATATGGAGCAAATTCTGACTTCGATAGTTGAAATTCAACACGAACAACAGAAACAGCAGCAACAACAAAACCAACAGCTGTTAGAACTACAAAAACAGCAACAGGAGTTGTTGGATATAATTCAGAAGAAAATTAAAAAAAATCTTCAACATCCCTTACGCAAGACACTGTACAAAACGCCATATCAGACTTTGTATACAATCCTGATGAGGGACTGGCATTTTATGCGTATTTTCGTAGATATGAACAAATATTCAGTCAGGAATGAAGCGGTTGGGAAAATAATAGAAAAACGAGGTTGTTGTTGAGGAAAAGAGCTCCCATAGAGTATAAAAAAATACTGCAACTATATATTACCGAAAAAAGGTGAAATCTGGTTTGAAAACACGGTACACATTCTGACGAAAATCTTTAGTGAAAAGATTTCTCTGTTTAATGCTCGTTGGAGTTGCATGAATCTAACCAAAAAAGAGGACAAAGATTTTGTCACGTATTCAGCAAAATAGTCAACAAAGAATGTGAAAAGTTTAGAATAAAGCAAATGACTCCAGATATATTCAAAGGGTTAATTTTCGTTCTAGGCTTAACAGGTGGAAAAGATGATGAAATACGATTGAAAACTTTAACGAAAATTGAACAAAATAGTAATATTACACTGCTTGAAATAGTGGACGATTGCCAGACGATTGCCAGACGATTGCCAGACGATTCGATGTCTGAAACACGATACTGAAGAAATCCAGAAAAAAGAATGTGCATTGGTAAAAGCAAAGGACACAATGTATAAAAAGAAGAATAAATTCTTGTTTCAGATATGGTAAATTACATCTTGGAAAAGATTTTCCATTTTAAAAATGCAGAATGTTACAAGTTTAGTAAACGAGGACATATGAAGTTACACTGCAAAACCAAAGCCAGAAAAAACAATTTCACATGAATAAATTCGTACGCACCATTGCAACTGGAAAAATGGTCACAGAAAACAAAAATATGAAAATAAATAATGTTTGTGTGAAAATGTTACTGAACACTAGTAGTGATATTTCAAAAATCAGTGAAACCACATGGAAGAAAATTGGAAAGCCTTTGTTAAATAAAAACAAAACTGCGATATCAGTTTCTATATATATATATACTTTTTTTTTTGAGAAAATGCAATGTCTCATTCCGTAATAAGAATGTAAAAACTAAAGATTGTGTATTAAAAATACTTCGAAACTAGTTGAAACTATATCTGAACTTCGGGATTTGCCGATAAACGTTTATGGTAAAAACATAAGTAGAAAAGCGACCAATTTAAAAAGTCAGAGTGAAAATTTCAAAGAAGAATGAAAAAAAAATGTTTTACATATGTTCTGTCTCGGCGTTCAAAATTCAAGGCGAATTTTCAAGTAAAAAAAAAAAAAAGGTTCGACACCTAGGTCAAATTTTTGATAAAAAATGGTCGTCAAACAGATCCCTCGAGGCAAGTGCAATTAAAAATATGCCTCCACCAACAAACGTGACTAAGTTACAAGCTTTTCTAGGACTGGTTAATTACTATCAAACATATGTTCATAATATGCATAATTTGAGAACTCTGCTAAATGATCTGATTAAAAAAATGAATAAATACGGACTGGAATTATAACTGTGAAAAGGCGTTTGACGAAATTAAAAAAAAAAAGACTTACATAAGAGTTATCATTAGCGCCCTACGATCCAAAAGCAGAAATTTTAGTGGCGTCAGATGAGAGTGAATATTGTATTTGAGCGGTGATTTTACAGAAATACAATTGTGGTAAAATGAAAGCCTTTGCACATGCTTCATGCTCGCTTCTACCAGCAGAGAATAATTACAGCCTGCTAGAAAAAGAAGCTCTAGTAATTACATTTGCTGTGAAGAAATTTCAGAAATTTATCCAGGGAAGAAATTTTATGTTGCAGACAGACCACAGACCTCTGTTAACAATATATGGTTCAAAGAAAGGAATACCTACGCATACAGCTAATAAACTACAACGCTTGGGTACCATCTTATTAAACTAT